GCTTGGAAGTCAGGAGGGCGGAGGGCCCGCCACCGGTCACCGATGAGCGAGGCCTCCTCCCGGCCCTGGTCCCGGCGCCCTTGTCGGCCTGGCCTCGGGGACCAGGGGGTTTGTAACTCGGTGAGACCGCCCAGCAGCCTCCCACCCACTTGACCCGCAGCTCTTTAGAGAAACGTGTTTCCTGCATGGCAGGAACTGAAGTAGGTAAAAGGGAGACCGGAAACTGGTGTCTTGTCCGCTGTAGCCGGGTGGACAGATCAGGGTTAGAGAACAAAGGTGGCTGTGGCGGCCAGAGAAGGATTCCGGAGCCGAGCCGCTGCCCGAGGGGAAATGAAGGCCCCGGGCTGGGCACTAGAGCCAAGGCTGCAGGCGGGAGGCCAGGGCCTCAGGGTTCTGATAGTTGCCCTTTACTCAGCCCGCCCATTTGCCAACTAGAGAGAATGGGGGCTGCACAGCCGATATTGGCCCTCTAACAAGCAATGGTCAGACTCACACCTACCCTTTCAACAAGCAGCACGTTTTTATCTTTAAAATAATCACCAGTTTGAAAAAACCTGTAACTCATTGAGTCCCTGACATTAAACCTACTCCAAGAATCTTAGAGCCCAACCAGTGTGGCTTGTGGTTGAGGGTCAACCTATGAACCAGATCACAGTTCGATTCCTGGTCAGGGCACATGCCAGGGCTCGATCCCGTGTGGGGCATGCAGGAGGCAGCTGATCAATGATTCTATAACATTAATGTTTCTCTCTCCCTCTCTGAAATCAATAGAAATATTAAAGAAAAATCTTAAGAGGAACCCAGACTAGTAGCCCATGGCCATGGTAATAATTCTAATATAATAATGTCCCAATAAATTTGTTATTAAAAGAAAAACAAATAGTTAAAGTTGGCTGGGCCTGAAAAAGTATTGGATGTTAGGAGACCAGCATTTCATTTATAAAGAGGATTCCCAAATGTCAACTCCAAATAAAGCTGTATGGTTTTAGTTTCTAGTACACAATACTATAAACCTCAAAACACAAAATGAAGAGTCCAGAGACTTTTAAGAGAAGTAAACTTTATTTCCTTGTTTCTCAAATAGAGTTGGCTGAGCTGGTTGCTTTTTGGTAATTAATCAAAGAGACCAAATCCCATATCCTCGTCCGTCTCCTCCGACTCTTCCTTTGCTTCAACCTTGGCTGGGGCTGCAGCAGCAGCAGGAGCAGCAGT